ATTGTTGTATGATAGTACTTTTATTTATATACTAGTAGTACAGGCTACATTCTCATGAGTGGAACCATTAGGTTGAAGGGCATACTGTGTATAATAACTGTGAGAGATGTTACAAGATGACCTTCTAAAAAGATAGAAATGATTCTGATACCTACCAACAAGATATACATGTGCCTTTTTCCTAGCATCTCTGCCAGAAATGAGTGGTTTTAATTTTTAAAACGCCTTTATTGAGATATAATTCAGATACTGTACAATTTTTCCTTTTATTGTGTATAATTCAACAGTTTTAGTATATTCACAGAGCTTTGCAATGATCACCACAAAGTTTAGAACAACTTTGTCACACCAAAAAAAGAAACTTGTACCCATTCAGAAGTCAGTCCCCATTTCCCTACCTCATTCCAGTCCTAGAAAACCACTAATCTACTTTCTCTACATACAGATTTGCCTATTCTTGACATTTCATATAAATGACACCAGGACTGGCTTCATTTACTTAACATATCACTTTCAAGGTTCACTCATGTGGTAGCATATATCAGTACCTCATTCCCATTTATCACTGAATAATATTCTATGTGTGGAAACACTTATTTATCTGTTTATCAGCTGATGAACATTTGGGCTGTTTCCACAAATTATTGGCTATTATGAATAATGCTGCTATGATCATTCATGTACAAGTTTTTGTGTGGATGCATGTTTTTATATACCTAGGTTGGAATCACTGGATCATATGGTAACTCTGTTTAATCCTTTTGAGGAACTGCCAAACTGTTTTCAAAAGTGTGATTTTAATTTTTGCCAATGTGAAGGGCATAAAATAGTTTCACTGACTTTGTAATGTGCACTCCTTACTGAGTTTGAGACTCTTTCCTTTTGTTCATTGGTAATTTAGGTTTTCTCTGAATTGCTTTTCATCTCCTTTTTTTTTTTTTAACTGACTTGTTTTGTTTGCTTCTTATAAACTTCTAAGAGTCTTGTGTATATTTTAGATATTAACTAATTTACTCTTGTCTTCTTTGTAAACATTTTGTCTTGATTCAAACATTAGTCTTTCAATGTTGTGGTATCTTGAGTTGTATAAAATATTCCATTTTTATGGAGCTGAATATATCTTCTGGGTTTGTGTGTTCATTAAAACGTTCTACCTTACTTCCAGATTACAAATGAAGTTGTCTAAATTTTCTTCTAAAATTTTTCTTTATTTTACTTTAAGTCTTTATTTCTTTTAATTTTTATGTTTTTATTTATTTCTGAGAGAGAGAGAGACAGAGAGACAGCATGAACAGGGGAGGGTCAGAGAGAGAGGGAGCTACACAATCTAAAACAGGCTCCAGGCTTTGAGCTAGCTGTCAGCACAGAGCTCGATGCAGGGCTTGAACCCACAAACTGTGAGATCACGACCTGAGCCAAAGTTGGACGCTTAACCGAGTAGGCCACCCAGGCGCCCCTTTAAGTCTTTAATCTATAGAAAATTTACATCATATACAGTATGAAATAGAAATTTAACCATTATTCTACTGAAATGATAAATCATCTTAATCATATATTAAATGATGAAATAAAATGATTTTTTTCTTTGGATTCTCTATTTTAGTATCTTACAAATCACAGGTCAGGACTACTTATTGCTTTTTAAAATCAACTTAGTAGGCTTTATTTGGAATTTTAAAGATATAAAATAGAAAAACAAAATATCACTATGCATCATATATAAGGAGGGTAAATATATCATGAAATTTTTATTTCTAACATAAACACATAAATAAATACATCAAGGGTCATAATGCATGCAAAATGTATTTCTTATTGTGAATTATAATAAATAAAGTTCGAAATCCACTTCTCCATTGTATTCCATTAATCCATTTGTCTATTCCTTTGTCCATACCATATGTGTCTAGTTCCAGTGTCTGTGTTCTGGTAAGGCATCTCCCTTTTCGGCTACTCTTAGATATTTGTTCCTCCACACGAACTATGTGGTCAATTTTTTCCTAACATTAAAAAAAACTGTTTTGCTTCCATTATAATTAGAATTGCTAATTTGGAAGAAATTTTAGTTTTATGATATTAAGTTCTCTGCACTCACCAAGTACTGGTATGTCTTTCTATTTATGGAGCATGGTATGTTTCTGTAATTCTTTTTATATAGGTCCTGTGCTTTACCTGGTAAATTTACTCCTAAGTATTTTATTTCATTTTATTAAATTTTTTTTTTCATGTTTATTTATTTTTGAGAGTAAGAGAGAGGCAGAGCATGAGCAAGGAGGGGGAGGAGACAGGGAGACACAGAATTCATATCAGGCTCCAGGCTCTGAGCTGTCGTCACAGAGTCAGACGCGGGTCTCCCACTCACGCGACCATGAGATCATGACATATTTGCTAGGACCCTTCAAAAATGTAAATTATTTGGCAGTATAAAATGGCATCACTGAGAATTTTGCTTAGCTCCTGACCGTAAAATGTTATTTAAGTAACATACATGAGAAATTAATTACTCGGAATACCGAGACCCATTACTCTCTCTTCCATTTCTCAAGCTGCTCCTCACACTACAATCCCTGTCCCTGCTCCTCCTCTCCTACAGCTTCTAAACTACGCTACAAGTGAGAGGCTCTGGCTTCTCATGTCTCGGTAGTAAGGAAAAGAGGTACTGCTGGCTCTCAGTGAACCATTAAAAAATACATCTCCAGGGGCGCCTGGGTGGCTTAGTTGGTTAAGCGTCCGACTTTCGCTTAGGTCATGATCTCGCGGTTCGTGGGTTCGAGCCCCGCGTCGGGCTCTGTGCTGACAGCTCAGAGCCTGGAGCTGCTTCAGATTCTATGTCTCCCTCTCTCTCTGACCCTCCCCTGCTCACGCTGTCTCTTTCTCTCTCTCTCCTAGAAATAAATAAAACATTAAAAAAAATACATCTCCATCCATTCAGATAAATGCATACATGGCACAAGGTAAGATACAGAAATATCAAGACATCAAGAATGTCCAGAAATAAGAGATCTCAAATAAGAGATAAAAGACATGTGAATAAAGCATGTTATTTCAAACAGAAATGCTCCAAAACAGGCATAAATTAAGCATGATTCAAGATTAGACGAAAATAGTTACTTCTGGTATAAGAAGAGTAACAGTAGAGGTTACAAAGATACAACAATTATGCCATAATTTGGATATCATACCAATTAAAAAGCTTTTGAGGGACTGGCTGAACCTAATTATCACATGTATTACTATTCTCTTACAGGACAGAAACTGCTTTCAACTAATTCACTTATAAGTGAACTTATAGCAACAGAACTCATATATTTCGTAAAGACTACTTAGACACATAATGGTAACAGTCTAATAATTGTTGTACTGTCAGTAAGAGAAAATAACAAGAATAAATAAGAGGCTGGTTTAATACTGTCCCTTCCTGATTACCCCTTGAGAACAGAATTAATTTTATTCAATAAAATTTTAAAAAATCCTTATCATGCAAATTTCTTAAAAATTGAAATTTTATAATTTCAGGTACTCTATATAACAATGTTTATAAATCAATGTTAAAATTAATAGAGCTTCTTACAATGCCAAAAATATCACAATAAAAATTTTCACCAGGGTCAAAAATTTTCATCTTTGAATTCATACAGTGTATAATAACAAAATGCAGCTGTTACATAAAGCGTACTTTACTGGTTCATTCATGCTATAAAAATATGACTGACATTTCATCTGGTCAACCATCCTAAAGGTTAATTCTTGTTTCCTGTTTCAGATTTTATTCCAGGTGAACTGCTCTGGGCAGATTCTATTTACCTATTCTGAACAAACCACAAACTGTTTCATTGCTCACTCTTACTGTTAAGAACATATTGACTTGCTGCCTGCTCTGCTGTTTAATTCATTTATGCTGAGAGTCAGGCATGAAGACAGAATTTTAAATGTGACATTTGCAGGCTGTTAGGTCATTTAAGCTCTGACAACACTAGGGAATTCCTGACATATAAACTGGACCTGATTACCAAACAACAGACAGGCTTCCCAAAGCAGCAAATTTCTGGCTTTTTTTTTTGTACTATCTCATAGAATTTAGTATTAAATTTTAATGTCAATGAAAAGATCTCTATAGTCAACATTGAAAAGTAAAAGTCTGCTTCTTTTAATAAGCTCAAACCAGTACTTCTTCTAATCAAACCAAATTAGCTAAGTGAAAGTTCTTTTGGTTAACAAAGACATATGGAAAGGCTCATAATAATAATTAATCAGTCACTAAAATTCTGACATATTCTGATTTTTAAGGGCTTTTAATATTTTCTATAATCTATAGATTCTGAAAAATCTGTTAGTTCTGAAGGCCATGACTCGTGTCTCTTGTCAACAGACCATTGAAAATTCTTAGAATCTGGCCAGGGCAGAGCCAGACTTTATATGCTATCAAAATCATGCTACAAAATCTTAGTTTAAATACCTACCACACTGCCTTCTCTAAGATTACAGTTATGCAGAAGGGATGATAGAGTCATTATAATTGGAGATTAAAAAAAAAAATACCTGCCCATATGACATTTAGAATTACACTTTACAAGAGTTGATAATGGGGTAGTGTGAAGGAAGGAAGGAAAGACTGTTTTCTTATTTTAGCTACTAAAAAAAATTACACCAACTGACAATTTTTCAGCTCTTTCTCCTTGTCACTAACAAGAGCTATACACAATGGTTCAAATGAAAGTTTTCTGAAATTAACTCTTGTTGTTAAGTAATGAACAAAAGATAATTCTGGCTTTACCCTGCATTTTGTAGAAGTAAGAATTCCACTATACACAGCAAGTAGCCTTTTAATATTGTGCTTTGAATGAGACTTCCAACTGTAATAGGTGGTGTCTAAATAGGGAGAGATGGCCTGGCATGCCTTTCAGCTATAGCACATTGATTCCAAAAAACCTAACAAAGGCAATTACTTTTCAAAGATTAAAAATCTTGTTTCTTTCAAAAGAATAAAATGAAAAGCAAACCTGGTGTATTATCTGAGCTACAGGAAGTTGTTCAGCATATTTCAGAGGTTCCACTAGTTCCTCATCCATCCAGTCTTTCTTGTAACTGAAAAAAAGCAGTTACAAAACACATGGCTAAGGTAAATACTATTTTTAAATACACCAAATATGAAAATTATTAAAAATCTATACTTACCGTTTCTGAAATAACTAGTATTTATTAAAATCAATAAAAAACTACCTAGTGATAATTTTTAAATGATGTAACCATAAATACATTCAAAATGCATTTAATTATGATGTAATAAGATTAACATCATCTAATATTTTTGGATCCTTTTACTCTGAGACTTAAGACTATTTAAGAATTCCCTGTTTATAGGGTGTGCTTTATAATATATTATTTAAGGCCTTCAAAACCTGGCTCCAACCACATTCAACCTCCATGTCTGGCAACTACTCCTTCTCTTTGTAACAGTCTATTGTATCAGCCACATCCTCAGCTATTGGCCACCTGCCAGAGAGCTTTAACACCATGCCTCTCTAATGTTCCTCATTCTGCTTCCTGTTTGGACCAACCACCAATCCCTTCTTTGTTTATTCTTCTCTCAAAGATAAATATTTAAACTTGTTTAAGACATACTTTCACCTTCCTGAAGACAAAAACCAGGTCTTAGTCTTTCTTGTATATGCAGTGTTCACTTACAATACTCAATAAATGCTTGCTGAATGAAGATATGAATAAAATGAAGACAACAATAACTATCTGAGAGGCTGTTATTTTATATGAAAAATATTTTCTTTAATATCTACATTTACGATGGGATGCAGAGTTGACACAGTAAGACCTAAAATAGTATGAAATAGTAAAGAGCACAGTAAGAATAAAAATAAAATCTCCCCAAATCAAGAGAATTAGAAAAAAATGTTTAAAACATTGACCCTTTTTTGAAATAGGAAATCATCATCAGATTTCAAAATAAAAATACCTAAACATATTTAAACCACCTTTATACATTTTTATCTGTAAATTACACAGCAACTTATCAACTTAAAAATTAAATTTTAAAAACTGAACCTTGATTTATCTTGAAAAATAATCAAAGAGACTGGTCTGAGTCTCTAGGGCTGCAGTTAAGGAATCTGATGATGAGAAATCTAGAATTTACCCCAAGAAATAGGCAGATATATAAATAAGGACAAAATTTTACCTATGATGTAAGAGCTTAAAGAACCTTGTAACTAGATAAAAATTTGTATGTTCCTTGCAGAATAAGTATAAAAAGAATTAATTTGGGGGAAGTTTGAAGATTCACTCATGATGAAAAAAAAATTGTCCTAAAACATTACTTTATAGGGAGAAAAAGCAGAATGGTGATTGCCAGGGGTAAAGTTGGAGAGAACAGAGAATTATTGTTTAAAGGGCAGTTTCAGGAGCGCCTGGTGGCTCAGTTGGTTGTTTGTCCAACCCCTAATTTTGGCTCAGTTCATGATCCCAAGTTTGTGAGATGGAGCGCTGTCGGGCTCTGAGCTGTGTGTGGAGACTGCTTAAGATTCTCTCTCTCCTTTTCTCTCTCTTCCCTCTTCCCTACACTCCTCTCCCCTGCTCACGGCATGCTCTCGCTCTTGCAAATAAAAAAATAATAATAATAAAAATTAAAAAAAAAAGCATAGTTCAGTATTGAAAGATGAAAAAATTTTTGGAGATGGACAGTGATGATGGCTACATGATAATGTTAAATGTCCTTCGCCACTGAACTGGATAATTAAAAATGATTAGAATGGTAAGTTTGATGTCACATTTATGTCATGGGCTGAACTGTGTCCCCCCAAAATTTGTATGTTGAATGAGTACCTCAAAATATGACTGATTTAGAGACAGGGTCTTTAAAGAGGCAATTAAGGTTAAATATGGTCATTAGGATAGGCCTTAATCCAATGTGATAATGTCCTTAAAAGAAGAGGAGAGTAAGATACAGGCAGACTGAGTAAAGACCAAGTGAAGATAACGGGGGAAACGTGGCCATCTATAATTCAAGAAGAAAGGCCTTAGAAGAAACCAGTCCTACCAACCCCTTGATCTTGGACTTCTAGCCACCAGAATTGTGAGAAAATAAATTTCTGTTGTTTAAGCTACCCAGTCTATAGTATTCCATGATGGCAGCCTTAGCAGACTAATACATTTTACCACAATTAAAAATAAATTAAAATAAAATAAATGTCCATTCCCATAAAACCCATTATTTTAAAATGTTCAATTTCACAATGTACATTTAAAAAGTCTATCTACATGTTTAGGTATTTAAAACACATGCCAAGCAACAAAAGAAAAACAGATACATTGAATATCATCAAAACTTAAAACTCCTGTGCTTCAAGAAAGTGGAAAAACAACCTACAGAATGGGAGAAAATTTTTGCAAATCATTTATCTGAAAAAGGATTTGTATCAAAGACATATAAATAGCTACCACAATTCAATCATAAAATCATGCAACCCAAATTTTTTCCTTCATCATCAAAGTGATTTCTATGTGAAACTGACATTATATTTGTATTCATTTGTTTCTTTATTACTGTGTGTCTGTGGAGGGGAAGAATGCAATGACTACTCAATAGTTTGGTGGCACTTCCTCGATTACTGTTAAAGCACGAGCGATTTCAATAAATATCTGCAGAAACAAATGAATAAAGATTAAATAACTGCAGTACTTCTAAAAGTACACAGAAATATGAAAAAGGCACTCATTCCTTACTTATTCCAAAAATTTAAAGTAACAATGTACAAGATGGAATACATTTTATTTACAAAATGTCTCTCAGTATAAAAGACACAAAAATATTGGAAATTTAGCAATTTGTTTTGAGTGTTTAAAAATGCCAAATAGTTGGTATGAAAAATTCCAGACAAATTTGTATATTTTCTTTTTGTTATTTATTTTTTCTGAGACATGTGAAAGTAAGTTGTATATATCATGACAGTTCACATCTAAACACTTTTAGTATGCATCAACTAAGGGTAGGTTTGAAAATTTTCTTAATAACTGCAGGACATTTTTAAAAAGTCACTCCAAGCACAATTCACAAGAACTCTTGGTTTTCACTTACTTCTATGGACTTAGAAGTGGTTTACTTAATCAATGTTTCACAACAAATTATAATTACTTCTCATTGTTAACTTCTTAAAAATGTCCATCATTTTCTTACTTTACATGTTGCTAGAAGTGCAATATCAAAGCTGATTCTCTTTCCACTTTATTTTCACTTTCATTTTTTTTTTTTAAGTAGGCTCCATGCCCAGCGCAGAGCCCAACACAGGGCTCAAACTCCTGATTTTGAAATCAAGACCTCAGCTAAGATCAAGATTTGGACACTCAACTGACTGGAGCTACTCAGGTGCCCCTAGCATCATTTTTAATATATTTTAATTTTTTTAATGTTTATTTATTTTTGAGACAGAGCACGAGCTGCGGCGGGGCAGAGAGAGAGGGAAACACAGAATCAGAAGCAGGCTCTAGGCTCTGAGGTGTCAGCACAGAGCCCGATGCGAGGCTTGAACCCACAGACTGCGAGATCATGACCTGAGCCAAAGTCAGACGCTTAACAGACTAAGCCACCCAGGCACCCATATATTTTAATTTTTTAAATTATTTTTATGTTTTAGCTTGGAGGCTTGGTCTTTTTTATCCTTTTATTTTAAGGCCTAATACATTTCTATGTAGCCATGTAGCCATAGGATATAGCTAAGTCAGTTGTTCTAGATCAACTCTCCCAGGCACACAGTTCTGGGGAAAATGAAAATCTCCTTTTGTTTCAGAAAAGTTTATTGTCATGTTAAATGTTATTTCTGCTCATTTTCCATTTGTTTTTCTAGTTCAGCTTCTTGAACCAAATATATTGGATTTTCTCTATCACTCTCTCTGATCCTTTTAGCTCTCTTATTTCAGTTTCATTTCCTTGACTCTTTTCATTTCTATTCTTTATATCCCTTACTGAACTTCTGGTAATATCTATCTTCCCTTGGGTACCTTGTGATTTAGTTTTCATTTCTAAAATGATTTTTGTCTTCTGTGATTTTCCTTCCAGAGTTCAATCAGCTCCTGTTTCACACATCTTCCTGTTGTCTGTACATTTTAGTTGTGAGTTCTGGAACTCTGATTCATGGTGTCCTTTCATAATGCAATTGCTTGTTTAATATAGGTTATTCATGTTCTAGTGTTGTATTTCAGGTTTCTTCTGTTTTGTGGCTTTTCTTTTTTTTATTTTTCCTTTCATTCTCTCTCCCTACCCCCACCCCTCCACCGTGTGTGTGTGTGTGTGTGTGTGTGTGTGTGTGTGTGTGTGTAGAAGGGTGTTTTTTAAAAAAATTTTGTTTTCTTATAGCAACTGTATACAGATCCTGGCTTTTCTTTCTTTTTTTTTTTTTTTATGTTTATTCACTTCTCAGAGAGGGGTGGGGAGGAGAGAGAGACAGACAGACAGACAGACAGCCAGGCAAGGGGCAGAGAAATGGAGACATGGGAATCTGAAGCAGGCTCCAGGCTCTTAGCTGTCAGCACAGAGCCCAATGTGGGGCTCAAACTCACAAACCATGAGATTATGACCTGAGCTGAAGCCAAACATTTAACTGACTGAGCCATGCAGGCACCTGCCTTCTTTTTCTGTTAAAGATTATTTGCATTTTTTTCCTCCAGGATCAGCATAGCAAGTTACTTGTGTTGAGAAGAGAGATAAATTGGCTTATTAGGTTTCTCAGTTCAAGAGCACCCTCCTTTGTGGATACAGTAAAGTGTAGATTCTTTAATAAATGGTACTTTTTGTGGTGGTGGTAGGTATAGAATTTGTCTTTTTAAAAAAATTTGTCTTGGGGCCCCTGGGTGGTTCAGTCAGTTAAGCATCTGATTTCAGCTCAGGTCATGGTCTCATGGTTTGTGGGTTCAAGCCCCGCATCGGGCTCTGTGCTGACAGCTCAGAGCCCGGAGCCTGCTTCAGATTCTGTGTCTCCCTCTCCCTCTGCCCCTCATCCATTCCTGTTCTTTTTCTGTCTCAATAATAAATAAACATTAAAAATATTTTTTTAATTTATCTTATTTCTTTTAGACCCTTG